CGCTCCGAGGGAAACAACAAAATGAAACGAAATGTGTTTGAGTGAATCGGTATTCCACAGAGGAGCAAAACTCTGCTTTTCTGTGTTTGCATCAAATCAAAGAGAACGGGTTTGCGCGCCGCAGATCTCACGAGTGTCTGTTTGAGTTTTAATCACACAAACACTGGACTCGACGCTACTGTTGTCTTATGAAAAGAAAAATAATTAAAACCAAAGAAAGTGTGATTGCCATACTGCAAAGTGTTACTACATCAGAGGAGTGGGCGATGTGAAAGATAGACAGAGAGACAGAGAGAAAGACAGAGAGAAAGACAGAAACAGAGAGAGACAGACAGAGAGACAGACAGAGAGAGAGACAGAAACAGAGAGAGACAGACAGAGACAGAGAGACAGAAAGACAGAGAGAGAGAGAGAAAGACAGAAACAGAGAGAGACAGACAGAGAGACAGACAGAAAGACAGAGAGAGAGAGACAGACAGAGAGAGAGAGGGAGAGGCAGACTGATTGAGAGAGAGAAAGAGACAGACAGACAAACACACAGAGAGAGAGAGGCAGACAGATAAGCAGATAGAGAAAGAGACAAACAGATAGAGAGAGAGAGAGAGACAGACAGACAGAGAGAGAGGCACACAGATAGACAGAGAGAGAAAGAGAGAGACAGACAGTCAGACCGAGAGAGAGACGAACAGAGGCAAAAAGACATAAAGAGAGAGAGACAGACAGACAGATATACAGACAGAGAAAGAGAGAGAGACAGAGTGAGACAGACAGAGAGAGAAACAGACAGACAGAGAGAGAAAGAGGCAAACAGAGAGAGAGAGAGACAGACAGACAGAGAGAGAGAGAGATAGTGAGAGAGACCAACAAAGAGAGAGAGAGACAGACAGACAGACAGAGAGAGACAGAGTGAGAGAGGCAGACAGAGAGACAGAATCAGACAGACAGAGAGAGAGAATTAGACAGACGGACAGAGAGACAAAGAGAGAGAGAGAGAGAGAGACAGACAGACAGACAGAGAGACTGAGAGATAGTGAGAGAGACCAACAAAGAGAGAGAGAGAGAGAAAGACAGACAGACAGACAGAGAGACAGAGTGAGAGAGGCAGACAGAGAGACAGACAGAGAGAAAGAGGCAAACAGAGAGAGAGAGAGAGACAGACAGAGAGACCGAGGGATAGTGAGAGAGACCAACAGAGTGAGAGAGACAGAGAGAGAGAAAATTAGACAGACAGACAGACAGACAGAGAGAGAGAGACAGAGCGAGAGAGGCAGACAGAGAGACAGAATCAGACAGACAGAGAGAGAGAATTAGACAGACGGACAGAGAGACAGAGAGACAAACAGAGAGAGAGATAGTGAGAGAGAGACCAACAGAGAGTGAGAGAGGCAGACAGAGAGAGAGAATTAGACAGAGAGAGAGACAGATGGACAGAGAAAGAGACAAACAGAGAGAGAGAGAGAGACAAAAAGAGAGACAGACAGATAGTTAAGCTTCTGTTTTCTTTTCCTTGTTAATTCTTTACAATTTCAGATTCAATTCTATTTTGGTCGTATTAACAAAACACTTTCAATACGAGACGCCTGAACAAAAACAATAAATACGTTTCGTTATTACCATTTAACACAAACACACTCCCATTTCTTTTCTTTTTATTTCCCGACAGGAGACTCTCTTCAGACTCCAACATGTCACTGCACATTAGAAAACTCTTTATGTTTACGTCCCGATTTGCTCCGGATCAAAACTCTCGCGTCTTTAACCTGTATATTTCCAGAGTCTCCTGTCGCGTTACATAATTTTACATCTGGTCCCGTCGTAACGCTCACACTGCTCCATTTATATTTTATTGAAATGACGGAGAGATCTGTGGAGAGAGAGAGAGAGAGAGAGAGAGAGTGATGTTTCCTTTGTGTGAAGATGAAACTTTGTTGTTAAAAGCGTCAAAAAAAAAAAAAAAAAAAAAGTGACAGGCACGGATACATGTCTTTGTTTGTGCTTTTATATTATTCCTGTCTGCCATCTCCTCTTTTCTCTCCTCCCCCCTCTCTCCGTTCTTTATTTATCAATCCATCTTTCTGTCTCTCCCTAGGTTTCTCTCTCTCCCTCCCTTCCTCGTCTCTTACTGTTCTGTTTTGTTCTTTTCTCCATCTATTTTCTCTCTTTTTTTTACTCTTCTCGTCCTCCTTTCACTCTCCGCTTCTGTCCCCATTTCTCTTCCCCCTCTCTCTCTCTTTCCGCTCCCTTCCTCTTTCCCGTCACCTTCTCTCAACCCTCCTCTTTCTCTTTTCTCCCTCCCTCCCTCCTCTTTTTTCAGTTTCTCTCTTCTTCTGTAACCATTTGCTTTACAGTTTTTGACCCTCTCTCTCTCTCTCCGCTCTCTCTCTTCTCGTCACCCTATCTTTCTTTCTTTCTTTCTCTACAACCCCTTCTCTCTCTCTCTCTCTCTCTCTCTCATTCATCTCTCCTTTTCCTCTCTCTCCACCCATCCCTCCCTCTGCTTTTCGGTCACTTCTCTTCCTTCCCATCTGCCCTACTCTCTCTCTCTCCTTTCCTACTTTTTCTCTCCCCTTCTCTTCTCTTCCCCTCTCTCTCTCTCTCTCTCTCTCTTCTTTCTCTCTCCCTCTGTCCTGTGTAGATGTGACTTGAACTGCAGCTTGTTTGCATCTTTATTATGATTTTCTTTTTCTTTCTCTCTCTGTCTTTCTCTTCTTCTTACTCTACCCCTTCTCTCTCTATTTCTTTCTCTCTTTCTCTGTCTTTCTCCCTCTCTCTTCTCTCTCTCTGTCCTGTGTAGGTGTGATTTGAGTTGCACCTTGCTTGTATCTGTAATATAAATTACTCTTTCTCTCTGTCTTCTTCTCACTCTGTCCCTCTCTCTTCCTCTCTCCTTTGCTATCTCTCTCTCTTTTTCTCTGTCTCTCTCTTTCTCTCTCTCTCTTTCTTCTCTCTGTCTCTCTCTTTCTCTCTCTCTTTCTTCTCTCTGTCTCTCTCTTTCTCTCTCTCTTTCTCTCTCCCTCTCTCTTGCTCTCTCTGTCTCTCTCTTTCTTCTCTCTGTCTCTCTCTTTCTCTCTCTGTCTCTCTCTTTCTCTCTCTCTTTCTCCCCCCTCTCTTTGTCTCTCTCTCTGTCTCTCTCTCTGCCTCTCTCTGTCTCTCTCTTTCTCTGTCTCTCTCTTTCTCTCTCTCTCTCATTTTTTTCTCTCTCCCTCTCTCTGTCTCTCTCTCTCTCCTTCTCTCTGTCTCTCTCTTTCTTTTTCTCTCTCTGTCTCTCTCTTTCTCCCTCTCTCTATCGTTCTTTTTCTCTCTCCCTCTCTCTTGCTCTCTTTCTGTCTCTCCCTCTCTCTGTCTCTCTCTTTCTCTCTCTCTCTCTGTCTCTCTCTCTCCCTCTCTCTGTCTCTCTCTTTCTCCCTCTCTCTGTCTCTCTCTCTCTCTCTCTTTCTCTCTCTCTGTATTTCTTTCTCTCTCTCTCTGTCCTGTGTAGATGTGACTTGGGCTGCACCCGTTTCTTTCTCTCTCTTCTTCTCACTCCATCTCTCTCTGTCTTTCTCTCTCTTTCTGCCCTGTGTAGATGTGATTTGAGTTGCATCTTACTTTTTTTTAGTATAAATTCATCTTTCTCTCTCTTTTCTTTGCACTCTACCCCTCTCTCTTCCTCTTTCTTCCTTTCTCTGCCCCCCCCTCTCTCTCTCTATCCTGTATAGATTTTATTTGAGTTGCATCTTGCTTGCTCTCTTCTTCTCAATTTCCCCTTCTTTCTCTCCTTCTACTTGCTACTTGTATTTTTCTTTCTCTTCTTTGCACCCCACCACCTCTCTCTCTCTGCCCGTCTCTCTCTCCTTCTCACTCTATCCTTTTCTCTTTCTCTCTCTCTGAGTCGTGTGCAGATGGGATTTGAGCTGCATCTTGTATCTTTATTGTAAATTTCTTTCTTTCTCTCTCTCTCTTCTTTCTCTCTCTCTCTCTGTCCTGTGTAGATGTGAGTTGAGCTGCATCTTTATTATCAATCCCTTTTCACTCTCTTATTCTTCTTAGTTTACCCCTCTCTCGCCCTCTTTCTTCCTTTCTCTGTCTTTCTCCCTTTACCCTCCTTTCTCTCCAATTCTGTCCCCATTTCTCTCACCCTCTCCCTCTTTTCCAGCCTTTTCTTCAATACTTCAACACCTCCCTTTCTCTTGCTCTCTCTTCTATCTCTCCTCCTCGCTTTCTCTCGCTTCTTCTCTCTCAATTCCTTTTACTGTTCTCCGCCCTCTCGTCCCTGTCTCTCTGTCTCTCTGTCACCTCTTCTCTCTCTCAATCATCTCTCCTTTTCCTCTCTCTCCGCCCATCCCTCCCTCTCTCTTTTCCTTCCCATCTGCCCTACTCTCTGTTCTCTCTCCCTCTCCTACTTTTCTTTCCCCTTGTTTGTATCTTTATTATGACTTCCTCTTTCTTTCTCTCTCTTCCTCTTCTTCTTAGTCTACCTCTCTCTCTCTCACACTCTCTCAATGTTTCTTTCTTTCTCTCTCTCTCTCTCTCTCTTTCTTTCTGTCCTGTGTAGATGTGATTTGAGTTGCATCTTACTTGTATTTGTAGCATAAATTCCTCTTTTGCTCTCTCTCTCTTCTTCGCACTCTACCCCTCTCTCTTCCTCTTTCTCCTTTTCTCTCTCTTTCTCCCCCCTCTCTCTCTCTCTGTCCTGTATAGATGTGATTTGAGTTGCATCTTGCTTGCTCTCTTTTTCTCAATCTCCCCTCTTTCTCCCCTTCTTTCTCTCTTCTTCTCACTCTCTCTCCTTCTTCTTGATACTTGCATTTTTCTCTCTCTCCTTCTCACTCTCTCCTTCTCCGTTTGTCTCTATCTTTCTCTCTCTCTGAGTCCTGCGTAGATGGGATTTGAGCTGCATCTTGTATCTCTCTCTCTTTCTCTCTGGGTCATGTGTAGATAGGTATAGGATAGGTGTCTTGCTTGTATCTTTAATGCCTTTCTTTCCTTCTCTCTCTTCTTGTTTCTCTCCTCCTCCACAGGAAGCTGGACGCGTTCATTTACGATGCCGCTGTGCTGAACTACATGGCCCGGAAAGACGAGGGCTGTAAGGTAAACTGCAGCTTTACACTCGCTTATGCAGGCAAACGTTTCCACACTCACTCTCAAATATTTATAGTGCAATAACATAAAGTCATGGTCATATTGACACTTTTTAACCCTTTATTATTAGTCTGTGTACATCTTCAAAGCTCCAGATGCTCTGTTCCACCTTGTGATGTCATGAAGTGGTAGTTTAACAGCTACATTTTACCTTTAGTTCAATAAAGATTGGCAATTCCATGACTGAAATGATCCATATGATTCTAGTGAAGGTGCATGGGCTTTAAAAACACAATGGAGCATTTCCTGTATTACCACATGACATCACAAGGTGCAAGAGTGTTTTCTGTTTGAGAGAAGAACTCAGCCTAAATCTGCAGGGTTTGTGAGTTAAATGTGTGTGAAGGAAACAAAACACAAAAAACTCCAGGTCTGTTTGTGATGAGGAAAAAACATAAGAACATAGATCAGAAAATACCGTAAAAGACCCTCTATATATCTCTTAAATCTGTGTATCATTCGTTCATTCGTTTTTCAATATAAAACCAAAAATAAGAACAAGAAAAAACAACAGTTTTCTTCGTTATTTGTCTCCAAAACCAAAATTAAACAAAGGGATAATGATTTGTTTTTTTCAGTTTTCGATTTTGTGTTTAAATGAAGAATGGAAAAAACAGATAACGGACGTTTCCCGTTTACGTGACTTCCGTGAGTGCGATGCCGAACTTTTGCACCATGTACAGACTGAACCAGGACTGATCCAGGTCAGAGACCACAGGTTGAAAAACCTCTTACTTTTTGAGTCATGACATTTTTTATTAAGAAAGGTCATGGTAACGGAGGGAAAAGTAACGGAGGGAAAATTGTTCAAGCAAGTAGAAGGTGCAGGATTTTGTATAATTTGTCGCTTTTTTCTTCCGAATACTTTAATATTACTTCAAAATGAAAGGAAACTATTTCTATAAAATATGTCAGTCCTTCCAAGTAAATTTTTATCATTTCAAATACATAAAAAAAATAAAAATCATGTCCCTTCATCAACAGTTCAAAGATGGAATAACACAAGATATGATGAAATACATCCATTTATTGACATGATTTTCAGGTCTTTGAAATTTGGGAAATAATTTTTGTTCCATGTTTCATACATGGTCTGTTTAAAACATATGGAACTTTAGAACCAAAAATGGTACAGAAAAAAGGTCAACAGTTTCATAAACTAGAGTACATATGTATCTGTTCAATACATTTTTATATCAGATGAATTAACTTGAATTTTTGGCCTTGCTGTTTACTTCTGCTTGACCGGGCCCCTGTAACATTCTGTCTGTATGTAATTCTGAAACATTTTATTGTCTGAGAATCAGGAAGTGCTCAGTTAGCATGTTACTTGCTGTTTGCTGCTGTGACGGCAAAACTACTCTGAGAAGTTATGGAACGCTCTTGTAAACTCATCGCGGTGAATAATTAGAAAGCTCAGAACGTATAAAGTAAGAGAGGAATAACTTTGGACCACTCCAAACCTTTTCAAATGAGCTACTTCTGTTTTTTCAGGTTTTCAAGACAGTCAAAATCTGTTCCAGCGCCTTTAAATCCAACCCAAACACCCGTCTCATGCATAAACAAAGCCATGTGCTTCCTCTTTAATCGCCCCCTGGTGGTGGAGCTGCTTACTGTTGTCATGTACCGCTGTGTTGGAGCTGATTTATTTATAAGAGAAAGTGCGCTGTGGTGGTACACTGCAGCGCTCTAGTCTTTGTAATAAGATGTAGGCGGTCTGGACTCCCTATGGCCTCATTCACTCCCTCCTCTGCAGTAATTAAACAACAAAACCAAGACCTGTGTTCATTTCTCCGCTCAATATTAACACAGGCGTTTCATTCAGGGATTTCTGATTCTGTGGATAAACATTACTCACTTGTATTGACAGTAATGAAATTAAAAACGAAGTATGAATCATTTCGCCAACAAGCAGGGAGTGTAGGTAGAGCTAGAGTTTAATAAAAGGTCTTGGGTCGTATTCTATATTCAGGCTCTAAAACTACTTTTGCACACGTTGGTTTTGCAGTTTTTGTAGCATCACTTAGTTTCTGTAACATCTGATTTGCCCCGTTTACATGAGAGCTTTAATTCCAATCAAAAATTATTTAATTCCAAAAAAAAAAAAATTATTCCGTTTTAAAAAAGACCAAGTAAACATTTAATTCCTAATGATTATTCAGAATTAAATTTAAATCTGAATTAAGTGGGTGGTTTATTTTCCTATTTTAAAGCTGAATTAATTTATTCCACGATCATGTAAATGTTTATTCCACTTAAAAAATAATCCTGGTCGTTCAGTGCATGTGCGAAAAAAGTTTGTATCATGTTTGTGTCCCCAAATCTCTGTTTCCCCGGTGCCTATGTAATTGCAAATGTACCGAGGTTCCCCGTTAACACCGTGAGTCGTCCTCATCCCAAGTTATCATCAAGAACTCATGAAACAGCAATATGTGGCATAGAACTTTACACAATTCACCGCACATCAGCCCAGAGCAGAATCTCTTAGTCCATGTAACAGCTGGGCCCAGTCAAGTAGAAGTAAACAGCAAGGCCAAAAATTCAAGTTAATGCATCTGATATAAAAATGTATTGAACAGATACATATGTACTCTAGTTTATGAAACTGTTGACCTTTTTTCTCTACCATTTTTGGTTCTAAAGTTCCATATGTTTTAAACAGACCATGTATGAAACATGGAACAAAAATTATTTCCCAAATTTCAAAGACCTGCAAATCATGTAAATAAATGGATGTATTTCATCATATCTTGTGTTATTCCATCTTTGAACTGTTGATGAAGGGACATGATTTTATTTTTTTATTTTTTTAAATGATAAAAAAAATTGCTTGGAAGGACTGACATATTTTATAGAAATAGTTCCCTTTCATTTTGAAGTAATATTAAAGTATTTGGAAGAAAAAAGCGACAAATTATGTAAAATCATGCACTTGCACAATTTTCCCTCCGTTACTTTTCCCTCCGTTACCATGACCTTTCTTAATAAAAAATCTCATGAGTCAAAAAGTAAGAGGTTTTTCAACCTAATCTTGTACCATATGGTAGAAAACTATATGAAGCAAATATTCAAACCAGTTTGTTAAGGATATGGAAGTGAGAACCAAGAGTTATCACTGTTTGGATTTATTGCCCAAAAAGTGCTGCATATTTCATTCCCTCCGTTACCGACATGAGTTTTTAAATTTTTTGTCAACAACTTGAAAGAATCTCACAGGTTTAACTTGACCCCGTTGGAGTGTAACTCTTTCCTACATTCTGATACTTTACTTATTTCAATAGTCCCTCTAGTTTCTGAATAAGAACTATTTGAATGTAAAAAATCTGCCCCTGTTTCCCTCCGTTACGGCTTGACCGGACCCACATGTAATTGCGAAAAGTACCGAGGTTCCCCGTTAACACCACGAGCTGTTCTCATCCCAAGTTATCATCATGAACTCATAAAACAGCAGCATGTGGCCTTGAACTTTACACATTTCACCGCACATCAGCTCAGAGCGGAATCTCTGAGTCCATGTAACAGCTGTAAATACACAGTAGCACTCACCATAACGCGCAGCCCCTCCTTGGTCTTTTGCCGTCCTCCAAGCGGGTTGGTCAAACAGGTCCATAGGCTCCGTCCTCCATGTGCTGGTTCCAAACAGGGGCGACCAAGACCTGCGGCGAAAGTGAAAATGTGCTGTGGCTGCTCCTGTCCTCCGTGCTCCAGGACTGTGGCTGGTACCGAGGTGGTGCAAAACATCCGGACAGAAGCGCAAATCTCATTTAGTTAATTATATCTTGTTCCAAACGGTCCGTCCTCCGTGCTGTTGTTTCTTCCCCGGGGAAAGCGCTTCTCAGGCCGATGCACCTAACACCCCTCCCCGCTCCAGCTCATCTGGGCTCGACCTGAACCGGAGCTGCTCCCGCTGGTTCAGAAGTATTTGTTCGGACTGTTCCCCCGGCCATACAAACTGGGGAACAGCGGTACGCATCCCCACATGTAACAGCAAACCGAGATGACAAAAAAAACAGTAGCAGCTGAAGTGTGTGTTTTTTTTCCGGTCGACATAAATACTGTGGAACATTCGAGGCAAAGCAAAAACATCTCTAAGGACACAAGCAGAAAAGTTACTCCTAGTGCACCTTTAGACACAAACTGTATTTGTCATTTATACTTAAAAAAAAAAAGTTATCAAAACATTATCAAACGAGCATTTTCTAAGCTCAAAGATGTTCTCACGGTTCAACGTCTGATCGCTTCGTTCTTCCGTCTCCTCCAGGTGATGACCATCGGCTCGGGGAAGGTGTTTGCCACCACGGGTTATGGCATCGCTCTGCACAAGAACTCCCGCTGGAAGAGACCTCTGGACCTGGCCCTGCTCCAGCTCGTCGGAGATGGTGAGGACATGTACACAGCACGATTTATATACAGTAGTGCGCTTGAAAATACACAAAGTACTTCACATCGCATTGTTCAGTCCATACTCGGTGCCAACAATTACTGATACATTAGAAATTAGCAGTGGTTGAACACAATGAAGTACAAGTAGTGAATTTTTACGTATCTCTACTTTACTTGAGTACATTTCAAAGAGGATACTTTCTACTTTTACTTCACTACATTTGAAAGCAGGTATGTTTATTTTCTACTCCACTACATTTTTGAACAGGACTGAAACATGAAAAGTAAAAACTGCTTTCCGTTTGATTTTAGGAGTTATTTTTCCATGTTTTTGGTAATATCCTAACTTTTTTATTTATTTTTTTTTTAATTCAAGCTTTGGCTTTGAGTAAACAAACATAAATACACAAAATTCATAAGAAAAATAAAGAAATTGTTCAGTTTCTATGAATTTTTGATCAGTAACACTACATTTTAAGAAATTATCAAAACTTGAGTGAAATGCATAAATTAGTAAGTAAATTCTTTTAAACAAAACTTAAATGCTGAAGTAGATTTTTTAAAACTTTATATCTGTACTTTTATTTAAGTAACAAAATTGGACTACTTCATACATCACTGTACATTAGTAAGGTGGGTAAAGTGTGTTGCTTAAGGGAATAGTATGAATTACAGTTTCTCCTGCCCCACTGTGGCTCCTGGTTTTTGCAACTGTCTCCCATCCAAGTACTAACCAGGCTTAAGTCTTAAGATGGTATGGCCGTCATTTATGCCACATCTAGTTACAATATAGATTCTATCCATCCAGTAACATCGAAACACAAATGAGCAAACACACACACACACACACACACACACACACACACTGCACTACGAGCACGTTTGGACACATGTGGATAATGACTTCTTTGAGCTCTGTTGGTGATAGTAACTCTGACAAAATCTGGGACAAGTAAGAAAATGTCCCAGTTTTCTTCATCTAGACGTCATTTTATTCTTTCTTTTTGTTGTTATAAATTGCCCAGTCATTTGTGTATGTGAGTTTGTGCAATTTGTCTAACTTAATAAATAAATAAAATAATAATAATAATAATAATAATAATAATAATAATAATAATAATAATAATAATAATCTAATAATAATATATATATAATAATATATATATATATTGGATTGTTGTGGTGAAGAGAGAGCTGAGCCAGAAGGCAAAGCTCTCGATTTACCTGTCAGCCTACGTTCCTCCCCTCATCTATGGTCATTAGCTCTGGGTAATGACGGAAAGGACAAGATCGTAGATACAAGTGGCCGAAATGAGTTTCCTTAGAGACAGGGTGAGGAGCTCAGGCACACAGAAGCAGCTCCTCCATGGATGCTTCCTCCTGTGTGCCTCCCTCAGGAGGTGTTCAGGACATGTCCCACTAGGAGGAGGCCCAGGAGAAGACCCAGGACACGCTGGAGGGACTATGTCTCTCGGTTGGCCTGGGAATGCCTTGCGGTCCCCTGGAGAAGCTGGAGGAAGTGTCCAGGGTGAAGGAAATCTGAGAGTAGATAAGCAGAAGAAAATGGAAAATGTCACTGTAGCATTCCGTTGTGTTCAGCAGATCAACAGTTACAACCAGCTGCCTGTAAGTGACATGGAAGATGTGATTAGAGTCCCGTCCGCCATGGAAAGCTTTGGCAGCTTGTGAAGATGCTGCTATAGGCGAGTTTCAGCTGACGTCATTGTTATTAAAAGCCCGCGTTGCATGCTGGGAAATATTTTGGTCGGAGGCAAGAAACAGGATAGAGGTCAAACACAGTGCGTAACCTCGTGTATTTATCCCCGATAATGGTAAATTCCTGCTGCATTATCAGATGCACAAATAGAAGCACAGAAGAAGGAAAATGTCTTTTTCGTATATTCTGAGTGAAAAGAACAACTAACGGTGAATTAAACGGCTTTCAAACATCCGCAGAGCAAACGTAGAAGATCCTAACAAACCGTGGACTCCAACAAGTTCAACAACACATCGAGACTCTTGGAGGTTTTCATCTTTTCTGCTGTGAATGGCCCAGGAGTTTCCACCAAGTAACTGTGGATATCGCTGAAGTGAATATTTGTCCAGGTAGTTGGCAATTCTGAACAGAAATTTGGTTTGGTCCAGACTCTGTCGGGGTTGAAAAGTTTGATTTGTCGTCCATCGATGCTTATGGCCAATTTCTGGTCAAACTGTCTTGGGTCCTCTGCTGTTAGAGTGGATAAATAACCGGGATCAATACCCTTTACGTGCTTTCTCGCTCCGTCTGTCATGTTCAATTAGTGTTTCTTGCCACCGACCAAAATAATTCCCAGCATGCAACGCACGCTTTTGTCAACAATGAAACTTGCCTATTGAATCTATGGTTTTATCACATGCCCAGTGTCGATACCTTCATCAGAAGTCGTCATCTGCATGGCGTCTAAATAGGGCCTATAACAAGTGAAAAGTACTTCTGGCATTTGGGTGTTAGTAGCTCAACTACAGTGATCGTTCACTGTTCTGTTGGTTGGTGCAAGGTGCAATCTCATCTCCCATAGGAGAATATTGTCATTGTGTCCTTGGGCAAGACACTTGACCCCAGTCACTCCCAGTGTCTGAGTATGCTACTTTATGTGTGAATGGGTGAGCACTGGTTTCTTGGGTTTCTTGAGGTCCCTCTGGAGATAGAAAGTGCTTTTATAAATATGATCATTTATCATTGAATTGTTTTTTTGAACAGCGGGTGCAATACAATATAATATAATATAGCCACAAACACGTCCTTTTACCTACTTACAAATTGAACTTTGCCACCAGCCGGACAACAGAATGAAACTGTATTTGCTCAAGATGCAATACGCTATTTACTTCGAGTCAAAACAAAAAGTAATACTGTGGTACTATAAATTAAACTTTCCACTTCAGTACATGACCCGGGTCTTTCATTCTCCACCAACACAAAGTTTCATGTAGCGTCCTGCTTTTCCACAGGCCCGATCTGTCTCATGTGTTCAGATGGAGACCATAATGAGATGTGAGACGGAGCTTTATGTACTGGAGTTCAAGTGACGCAGGAGCCAGAGGAGAGCTGTTGTCAGTGTAATGGAGTCTCTGTGTGTGAACAGTGCCCCTTGTGGTCGACTCTAAAGACGCATCCTAAACTTCTCCTCCACTCTCGCCTTTATGGGCCAAATAAAACTGAAGTTGCTGAGTTGTTTCAAGTCAAAGCCCTAATAACCAATCAGGAGAAACGATTCCTGAGATGCACTATTACTACTACTTTGTGCCACTCATCTCAGCATCTGAACATTCTAAAACCTTTATAGTTTTATATTGAGCAGGGGACAGGTCTCTATAACTGTAAGTGTCAGATTGCAGATTTGTTGACCTGTTCTCTGTCATTACTGGGCCTGATCCTCCACTTGCTTGTCTCCTTAGACTTGACTTTTCCATGGAAATGTTAATGCTTTGTCTGAAATATTCCACAGTAAAGGCCGTTTTATAGTTCTGCGTCGACTCAACGCACACTGCCGCCGTTGTTTTTGATTTATGGATCTGTGTCGAGGTCTATGCGCCGCAAAATAATTCACAAAGCTAGGAGGCTAGGATTTTAAAATGCTGTTTGTGTATACAAAATGAAGTGGGAAAGCGGAGTATCAGAAATGTATCAGGGTTTCCACTCTTTTTCACTGACAAAGTTTCAAAACTTTTCTATGACTTTTTCATGATCTAAAGCAGGGATCGCCAACCTTTTTCCTCTGGTGAGCTACCTTTTATAAAACGAAAATGCCAGAGAGCTGCTCATTTTAGCAGCAGCAAGAAACTGAGAAAGTAGAAGAGCTATAGCGAGCCTTTAGACGGGGTACAGATAGATGTGTATTAAACATAAACCATGATCCATTTATTAGTGCACAAGTTAGACATCAACATGACACATTTACAATAGTAATCAGATTTCAGTGATTAAGAGCCATATGTTAAGTGCAATACATACATTCAGAAATCCTTTGGTGAGCTACTTGGAAGAGGGTGGAGAGCTACTGGTTGGAGACTCCTGATCTAAAGTGACTTTTCCATGACTTTACAACACCTACATGTGTAGAACTGATGAGACTTTTAGGGCTAAATATGAAATGTTAATCCTTTTTCCACTCACCTCATGGTTTGGTATTATAGTTTTTTAACATTCAAAATACTGTCAGTACATTATTGTCATCTCTTTTGAACAAAATGCGCAGATGTTCAGAAATAATCAGAATAGCCTCATGAGAACTTAACAGAACGCTGTAGTTGTGTGAAAGAGATACTAAAATTCCATGACTTTTCCAAAACTGTCATTGAATTTACAAAATTCCATGACTTTTTTGTAAAATGACATTTTCAATCAACAACCCTGTGTATGTGGAGCGGATGTAGAGGACCAATCACAATCCCGATTGTCTGCGTTGCTATGTCTTGCTGTCTGTGTCGGTTCAACTTGTAGTTACAAAATTTCAGAGATGCACGTCCGTCGATGCAGACACTCTGTGGAGGGGGTTCACGACAGCGACGCATGACTATAAACTGGGCTTAAAGCATGACACTCATCTCTGAAATATGACTTCAAGCAGATGATGCCTCCAGACCAAGTTCATGAAACTGAAAAGACTCTAGCACAGGGGTGCTCACACTTTTTCAGCATGTGAGCTACTTACAAAATGACCAAGTCAAAATGATCTACCTAATACAAAGCCAAGCAAACTGCACTGAAACACTCTGTGCCCCTTTTTTGGACCCTCACCCACAGTTTGAGAACCTCTTCTTTAAGAGAACTTCCTCTGGCACTTTACACAAAACTATGAAAAAACTGAAGGAAGATTTTTAAACCTGTTTTTTAAGTTTGAGTTTCATTCTTTTCTGGTTTTGCAGTGATATTTACCAGCCTCTGCACATTTACCAAACCAAACGCACATCGTGACAAACACAGATGCATTTGTGCACTTTTTGTGAGGCAAAC